TGTGCAGACATTCAAGCTTTTTCTTCTAGAAGTAATAATGTCACTCCTAGAGAAAAATAACCTGGGAATAACCAGGTTAAATTGCTCCCAGGAGAGTTTCTACCAGGAGAATGAATTCCCCCAGGTTAACACCTCCTAGGGACCAGGATGTGGAGCTGAAGGAAAGGGTCCCATGCCTTCCTGAGACCTGGGTCACTGGTTTGGAGAAGGTGTCGGGAGCAGCTGCTCCCCCATTCCATAGACAGGGAGGGGAGGGGCCGGGGCAGTGCCCAGCTCATCCTGGCAAGAGGGCTGGGTTGGGCTGCGCTTGGGATGAATGGTGGTAGCACTGCTATGGGAGGGGGCTATGGTGAATTTGGGAGGGCTACAGCCCACCCCGTAACCCCCCCCTCTTCCAGTACTGCTGCCACCTGCCCTGAGCACAGCCCTGGCCCAGCTCCCCCACCAGGAAGAGCCCGGCGCTGCCCCTGACCCCAGCTTGCAGCAGCAGCCCACCCTCGCCCTATGCGCAGATCTGGGCCCCCCCCCCACCATGTCCTCCCAGGGTGTGTGCAGTGGCAGGTACCACCCCCCCATCCTCCTGAAAAACTACTTGCGACTCTGTTCCTTGCTCTACCACACTGTGCAACGTCTGCCCCTACCCCAGCCCCAGCGCCAACTCTACTTCCTCCCTCACCGTGAGGACCTTGGTCTGCCCCCCCATGCCTCTTCCTTCCCCCCACACCCCTTCTCTCACAACAGACTTACTAGCCAGATGGTGCTTTCCAGGCTGCTGGGCTGCACTCCTGGTCACCTGTATGCTGTGCAGCAGTTGTGCGCAGGCACACAGCATTTATCGGTAACATTATTGGCCGCACGAGCCAAAAAAAATCTGATTGCCAATAATGTCAATTTTCCTTTTAAAGGTGCTGATATGATATGGGACCAATGTATCAGTGCACCTCTAATTGTAAGTAAAATGCTGGAACTTGTTCATTTTCAGTGTAGCTTTACAAAACTTATAATATGCCAGCAATTACATTTTTAAAAATGTTTGTAATAACACTTCTTGCCACTTATCAGCAAGGGGTCATCTACAAGGTCACATAAAATGTAGGATCACACAGTAGTTTTCAAAAGAAATGAGCTTCACATACTAAACTCATATAAAGTAAAATCTTTACACATTCCAGTAACAGCTCTTTATTCTTTCATATGTATGGAAAGGATAGCCTCCAAGAAGATTCTTTCCCTTCAGTCTTCTAATACATTTACCCACAGATATGCTTATTACATCACCCTCCTTTTACCACTGGATGTATTATGCAGAAAACGCTCTTTTAAATATAGAGGCTGCCATTAACGTTTTCACATTGTCTCCTGGTGACCAGTTCTACAGTGTTCCCTAAAACTCAGTATACCATGAATAATTAAATCAGTTACTTCCAATAAGTATTAAGAAATTACTGGAGATCACTGCAACTTTACTTAGTAACTTGCTTTTTTTTTTTATTTCCAAGTATTTTAACTATGGTGTCTTATTATAATTAAACAACCACATTCTCTTCCCTACTTATACATAATGCAAATACACAAAAGTAATTAAACAAACATCACAGTGCAGGAAGCTATTATATTATCCAGAATTAAACTGCAAAAATAGAATCTTTATAATTCCATTTTCCTTAATGCATACAATGTATCTGTAATTCTGCAAATCTCTAATTTACAATCAGAATTCTTAATCTGAAGTAGAATCATAGAAAAGTAGGGCTGAAAAGGACCTCCAGAGGTCACCGAGTCTAATGCCCTGCATCAGACAGGATCATCCCTATCCTAACCCAGGGATGCTCAACACCTAGCCCGTGGGCCACTTCTGGCTCACAGAGCCATGTCATCCAACCCACAGGGCTCCCCACAGGTACTAAAATTTGGTGGTGGGGAAGAAGTAGCAGTATTAGCTGCTGCTCCCGTCACCAAATTTTTGGATCCCTGGGAAGTCCCGTGGGCTGGATAGCATGGCCTGGCCCACAAGATCAGATGCGCAGGGTTGAGCAGAGGTGGCATGGGGCCTGACCTGAGTGCACAGGGGTCATCTGAGATGGTGCAAGGCCTGATCCCACTGGATGGACCTGGCCAGTGGTACTGCAGGGCTCAATCCAGCATCATGGGGCTGGATCCAGCAGTGTTGGTCTGAGAAGGATTGGGGGCCAATCAAGCCTAAGAACCAGCCCTATGCCACTCATCTGGCCTTCATGACCAGAAGGTTGATTACCACTGAACTAGCCTATTAGCAGAACTACACAGCCAACCCTGAAAGCCACAAGACATAACACCTTAACCTGACACTATTACAGCAGGGGGATCACGGCAGTAAACTGAATTTCAGAAGAATAGTTTAGACTAAAATTTGGACATTGAAACTTCACCTCAGCTGGTTAGAGCATGTTGCTAATAACACCTCGTGGTGCTAATAACACCAAGGTCAGAGGTGTGATCCCTGGTTGAACTAGACAAGCACTTAAGGTCCCTTCCAGTCTTACTTCTCTATGATCTAATGGTGCTAACACAGAAGAGAGGTTATTTTTCTGGTGACCAAACACCTTGAAAGACAGGATTTGGTTAATAAAATAGAGGCTATGTAAACAAAATATTTAAATTTCACATGCAGAATTTGGAGAAGTATATATATTTTACCAACAGGAAGGATTTTCAGGTTGATTACATTTCATGATTTCAAGTGTGTTATTTACTTAGAACCACAAAGCACCACCTCTCCAGTGGAATATTTTTTGCCTGCCATTTATTTCAACATTTGAAATATGAAGAACAGGTGTTCAGATTTAATTCCAAATGAGAAATGCAGCTTTTTGGCACAGAAACTCTTTAGCAAATGGAAAGTGTGGAATCTGGATATTTCTTGGTCTGTTTCTGTGTTTACTGGCAGCAACATGACACCTATAGATTGCATTGCTAAAACTCAAAATGGGGCAGGGAGATGATCATATTAGCATTTCACATGATGGATCAGGTCAGCACGTACACACACAGGTGCAGTTCTCAAGTGGGCTCAGTGCTGTTCTAAAAATCTGTTTCCATTGATCCAAATGGTAAGTCTCCCATTTGCTCCAATGGGAAGAAAGTCAGGCCAATGCTAAGCACTTTGAAAATCCCACCTAAATGCCTGGGGACCTGATAACTTGAAAAACTGCTACCTTCTATTTTGCAACAAAGCTGCAGTTGTGATTAGTGTAACACAAGTGGGAGACTGGGTTTAAGCAGGAGGGGGCTGTCAAAGAGTATTTTTCTTGTAGGTTCCTGGCCTCTAGAACTCAGTTCTCTGTCTGCCAAAGCCTTGTCCTATTAACCTTCTGGACACCTCACCAAGCCTCTCTCCCCAACCAAGGTGTTTGCAGGGCAGTGGGTCTACACTGTCTGAAACAGAACTGACCTAAAAATGTTAGCATTTATTGATTCGCAAGTCATTATTAGAACTGTGTGGGCATATTGTATAATTCCAAAAATCCTTATCCTTGGTATTGAACATATTTAAGTATATCACATCTTAGTCACCTGTGCACAAGCATAAAAAAAAAGAAAAGCAAGAAGGCAATAAAGACAATATCAGTTAAATGGTAAGGATCATTCTTCAGTGAATGGAAGTCGGCCCTATGGAAATGAAGATGTGAATGAATACATAAATAGAAGATGCAGTGGGGTCTAATGGACTCTGTAGCAAGTACTCTGTCAAGGGACATATGGCACTTTTACACGTGCTCTGGGAATGGCGGGGAAGGGTGGCGCTTGAATTAGAGCTGATCTAATTAAAGCGCTGCAGCATCTCGTGTATCAGCATCCCTAAGCTTCAAAATAGTGGTGGGGCACTTGAACTAAAGCTCATCTGACGAGCTTTAAAGCACCCCCGCTGCCATTTGGAAGTGCGGGGACGCTGATACATGAGAAACGGAGGCTGGCTGGAGCTCGGTAATTTTACCACACTCCAACAGACTTGAATCGAGTGCTCCGACAAGCTGTAATTACAGCACATTAGAGGCTCTAGTCCCAGGTCTGTCATTTATTGTGTGATCACAGGCAAATCCCTTCAGCACGTGTTTGTTCCCTTTCCACACTCAGGCTTCTTACAGATGGAAGAAAAATTCAACAAACAGTGCTATACTTTAAACTTGGCACACTCCCCTGCCAAGCCTAGCACATGCCCAGAAGAGGCATCGCATTAGCTGCACCTGACTTGTCCAATGTCTATATAGTTTGGGCACCTTAGTGGGGCTTTTCTGGTGCTTTTATCTAATAGCTGATTGACAGATAAAAGTGCCACTGAAGTGCCCAATCTATACAGACATTGCAGAGCTGGGTTGAACTAATGCACTGCTTCTTTTTCCGGTAAAGCGTGGGTTTTTTTTCCCCATGTCTGTCAGCAGCCTCAGTCTCTATTCTCCATTTAGAATGTAAACTGTTTGGGGCAGGGAGTCTCTCTCAGCATAAATTTGCACCATGTTTTGTATCACAGAGCCTTGATGCCACTTGGCATTTTTAGCTAGAATGACAAAACAATAACTGCAACCTAATGTTTTAACAAATGAACTACAAAAATGAGTCAGAATTACCCTCAAGAGTATTGCAAAGCTACTTGTGGAAGTAATAGGTAGAGGAATTCAGAAAAAGTGAACAAAACTATGCTTGCTGATAATCAGAGTTCTTTCAACTCACAGAAGTTTTGGGACAGAACACACTGAAAACATGGACGGGTGTCTGTTTATTAAGTTTGCAATTCAGTAGATAGAACTAAGGGAAAACATTTCAATCTCCCCATAATGTTTGACTGAATGAGTCACCCATGTGTGACTTAGTGTTTTGATGATAAATTCTCTATACTGTGGCCTGTACAGTTTCACTGGAAAAAGGCCATTTGAAAGCATTACACTACTAATGTTCTGCTAATGGAAACACTTCATTAAAATGGGGTCAAAAACGGATTATAAACCTTTGTCTGTAGCACTCACCTTCCCACCCTCATCAAATTTGCCCACATGGCAAAACCATTCTCGGGAGCAGAACCAGGTTGGCATGATCACAGTGGGCCCATGAGAGGTAAACACCTAAGAAAAAAGGAGACAAGAAATAGCCTTAATGACAAAGAAGGATGTTCCTAACCAATACTATTCAGACAATGAAGTTCATTTTCACTTATTCATTTATGTCTTGGTCCTGCAAAGATTTATGCTTCTACTTTAAGCATACAGCTGTCTTACTGGTGGCTCCTGGACTCCCACCTGGCCACTGCTTTTCCTATCACTCTGGCTGTGGCAGCATCTGGGGTCTCTGGGCATTGCTTCCGGTTTCTCTTTCCTGTGCCTGGCCCAAGGGACAGGGCTGTACATGGGAGCCTGTGAGGCAGGACAATGGGGGAGTCCACACTTGGTGAGCTGGTGGTGGGGGAAGGCACAGTGGAGTAATGGGGGTGCAGCAGGGAAGTAGGCTTTCTACACTTGGTGGTGGTGGGGAAGAACAAAGCAAAATTTTACAGTGTATCCATGCATAAAATGGAAAGCCTGTGGTAAATTCTAAGGCTTCAATATAGTACAAAATTACAAAACTAGATCTATGATTTCTGTGGAAGAGGGAAAAAGTCAAACTCGGGGAAGGTAATAATATGGTTTGCTGGTAAACATAACCAGAGCAATGTGTGTACACTATCAAGTTATAGAGATGAAAATGCTTCAGTAGATGAAACAAATATGGCTATTAATTTTATATTTTTGAATTGGGACAGTTTCAATGACTAGTAGCTATACAGTCAGGAACCATACATAATCACCTTTTGATACGTTGAACAATCATGCTGTAATCCCAACTATGAAATAAACCAGACTATCCGGACTATGTAAAGTAAACTAATTCTTCTATTTTACAAGGCAAAATATCTGGCAAAGCAGGAGACTGAACAAGTCCAAGAAAAGTTGGAACTTGAGAGCGGACAGTGCCTATATCCAACTACTGCACAGAAAATTCCTCGTACGAGCTGGTTTAAAATAACAAAAACATGTCAAACTTAAATCACTGGTGAAAATTGGCCTTGTTATGAATCCAGTTATAAATTGAGGTTTTCAATGGTGTCATGCATGCTTTCTTGAGTTTGTTTTTACTTTTTTTCCTATTTTTTCAAGGCCAAATCAGTTCCAAATTCAATTGGGCAAAACCCAATAGTCAACTTCCAAAATTCAACTGAGCAGAGTTCAATCTTCAAGCCCGTGTGGCTCTTCTACTGGGCAAGCATCCTCCCACCCAGACTCATTAGTCTGGGGCTTCGGTTACTCCACGAATCCAGGCAGGCATCCTACATGCAAGTCCCAGGCCCAGAGCCCTTGGAGTTCATATGCCTCCTCTCTCCCTTGATCTTAGCCAAAAGACTGCTGATATTGTATGTGTGATCTCAATGGATAGGGAGTGTTAAACTACATTCAGCTGTATCAGCCTTGTATTTATATGTTTGATATCAAATGTATTTCTTATAAGTTATAATATAGCCAGAATTGCATAATGAGTTTCACACCTGGGAGAGGCTCAAAACCTAAACAGCTGAAGAGAGGTAATCACTGAAAATCAGTATCACATGGGTATGCCAAACAAACAGGCCCTTCCAGACAATGATGAATTTCCATTTTAAGAGAAGTGGCCCTTTGAGACTAACACCTGGCTTTTCAAGCTATTCAAAGAAGATTATATCTCAGAGTGGGGAAACTAAGTGAGAGACAGTATCCTTGGGATATTATCTGAAAGGCTGCAAATAGTCTCCTCGTCGTAATTATATCAGGAAAGACTTTTAATCTGGTAAACATGCACCTTTGCAGGGGCAGAAAATTATATGCATAGGCTCCCCAAGAATTCAGTGGGTGATGTATGTACATAAATGGCCAGATAAGAAACCATACTTAAGCTTTCTCTTGAGAGCAAATCTTGGTCTTTTGTTTTTCCAGGCATTAGAGTCTCTTAGCTAGTGGGCTGAGTAGAAACTGCATTCTTGGCTTTAAGATGCAAGGTAAAAACAGGTAATTGTTCTGATATTTCCTCGTTTGTTTGTTTTTATATCTCCATCTTCATCTCAACACAGAGTTAATGATTTCTTAAGTTTTCTCTTGTTTCTATAAAAAATCTTGTTATCTTTTATAACCCACTTATTGTCAGTGACCACTGTGATTTAAGAACACCTGACCACATAGGACTCTTCCAAGGAAGGGGCCACCTATCTTTTCTAAGAGCATGACTGGACTGGAAAAAGTGCGATTCTTTTAGCTGACAGGATCTCCTCTGTTAAAAGCTGGCAAGACCTAAGTGATGGAGGTAAAGACGAGGCATCACAGGTCAAGGACATGACCTTTGGAGCTCCTCATTCTGTTCTCATTGGTCAAATAGCAGATGACAGAGAGGGGTTTGGAGCTGAAGGGCATCCCTGAAGGTGTGAGAACACCTCAGGAGTTTGCTTCAAAGATGAACCTGACCATAACTAGGCCTCTTATAAGTTCATTTCATATTATGCAATGTAGATTCAGTAATAATATTAATCATGGATGACTGGTGCCTCCTGTGTCTGGGGGGTACCGCAGAAGCTGCCGCTGGTGTTGTCGGCGGGACCGGGGCTGGTGAGCACCCACAGAAGCCACCGCTGGCACTGGGGACAGTCCTGGGGGAGCACATGCCCCACTGTGCCCCTACTACCAGTCGCCTATGATATTAATCTATGAGGATGAATAAATTTAGCCTTTTCAGTCCTTAGGCAGGTACCTCCTCTATAAGTCAACCCACTTCTCTTTGCGTGGATCAGTATGGAATTAGAAGATCCAAGGATAAAAAAAAATTCTTTGCAATCTAATTCCATACTAGGCACTTATAAATGAGATTTTCAAAAGCATCTAAATGAATTAGGAATAAAGGAAAATCCCATGAAGGGGACAATTTGCATCTATTTAACATTTTAAATTTCATAGATTTCATAGACATTTGGGCTGGAAGGGACCCTGGAGGATCATCGAGTCCAGCCCCCTGCCCCAGGGGCAGGAAGTCAGCAGGGATCATAGGATCCTAGCAAGATAAGCATCCAAATGTGTCTTGAAGGCATTCAAAGTGGGTGCTTGAACTGCCTCCAGCAGCAGTCTGTTCCAAACCTTGGGGGCTCGGACAGTGAAGAAATTCTTTCTTATGTCCACCCTGAATCAGTCACAGTGGAGTTTGTGACTGTTCAATCCTGTCATCCCTTGAGGGGGCTCTGGTCAACAGACGTTCCCCCAGATCCTGATGAGCCCCCTGATAAACTTATAGGTGGCCACCAGACCACCCCTGAGCCTGCGCTTTTCTAGGCTGAATAGCCCCATTGCTCTCAGCCTCTCATCATAAGGTCTGTTTTCCTGACCTCTGATCATGCACGTGGCTCTCCTCTGCACTCTCTCAAGCTTCTCCACATACTTTTTGAATTGTGGAGCCCAAAACGGGACACAGTACTCCAGCTGCGGCCTCACCAAGGCCGAGTACAGCAGGAGAATGACATCCCGGGATCTGGTTGAGAAGCTTCTATGGATACAAGCTAGCGTTTTGCTCACATTACTAGCCACAACATCACACTGAAGGCTCATGTTCATCTTGTGGTCAACCATGACCCCCAAGTCCTTTTCATCTGTAATGCTAACCAGCATAGCACCACCGAGCCTATAAGCATGGTGCAGGTTTTTCCTCCCAAGGTGGAGAACCTTGCATTTTTCGGTGTTGAACACCATCAGGTTCTTGTCCGCCCA